TTGTCGAACTTAATTCCTGCATGGCAGAAGCACGACGTCTGAACTAGGCCTTAGACGTTTTAATGTTACTAATGTTCAGACTCAGGTACTGCTCACGTGGAGCTCTTTAGGGAGGTCTTTCTATTCTTTTCCTTTGTTTCACGTTAATGGTTCCTCTACCGTCTCTTTGTCAGTACGTTAAGTTCAGAACAGTTCCGTTTTGGGATTCATATAATCCTTGTAGTTGACTGAGGTGAGTTGTTGGAAACACCACTTGCATACATGACACTTGAGCAACTCTCTTTTTAACGTGAGGTGTCACGCAATACTTAACTTGGTCTTTCCGGTCGCCTTATTGTTTGCAAAACGCTGGATTAAAAAGTTCCCAAAGGGAAAAAGGCTAGTATGAACTTTGGGTAACCGTAAATTGGTTGTCGGCCAATCCCTGGCATATCCCATGAGCAACATCACCAGCAAGCTTGATAAAATAGCGTGTAAAACATGATAACCGCATACGTGTAATGCCGTCCTTTTCTCCGTTAGATCTGTCAGTCATTAATGTTCTCTGCTTCAAATGAAAGTAACACAGCACAGTAAGTCGGTCCTCTGAATGTACACGTTTGTGTGACCCTCGGTTTAAAAGTCTGCATATGATGGCAGCCACAATCAAGTTTTTCTACTCGCAGTCACAACACTTTCAATATTGCTTAACGCTGGTCTGACGTATTAGTACCAGACTGGTAGGTGTTTCTTATAAGAATCCATCCTCAGTTATGTTTTCTACAAGCACACAAAATGTTGTCACTATTTAAATTTAAGGTGCACGAAAGCGCAACAGAACAAAAGAGCTTTGCGAATGTGGACGAGCTAGATAAGTGCTTGTCAATTTGACTCATTTTGTTTTCGTGAAGCAAAAAAAAAAATGTATCTTCTGGTATGCATATTAACAAGAATGCAATAAAATGAAGCTGCTAGAGCTTCCCTTTTACAGTTCATTTGTAGCCGATAAAAATAGCAAGAATTTTGTAATAGTTAAAAAAAAGCTTGGCCTTCCGCAGGTTTTAATACAGCACGACAAACACAAAATCTTTTCTGTAGACAACGTGATCCATATATTGGTCAGATTCCCACTTGTTAAGCTCACACCAGTGCTTAATGATCTGGTAGTTTATGGATCCACATTGGGTCATCGACAAACATTTCTGTGCACATTCAATCATTCCTCTCGTCTGGAATAAGCTCAGGTTATGACCAATCAACACGCGATCGAAATTGGTAGAAATACCTCCAATAAAATGTCGACCATCTCTGTTGTCATATGATTTCTCATTTGTCTCTTGAAGGTGAGAGTAAAATACCAGAGCAATGAAGTTGAATATCAGCCCTTTCTTCATCGTTTGCATCAAGAGCGCTGGTGTTTGCCCCAAGAAAGAATTTGTAAGATCGAATGACGTACAAAAGAAGGAAAAGAAGAAGCCACCGACCAATTTTATGAGCCTGTGATGTTATGAGAGTTGACATAGCCTAAAACAACATCATCACATCAGTAGGGAATAAGAGCAAATGGTTCGTGTAAATCTTAGCTTAAAAAAACACTACTCATAGCCAAATTTAATTAATTTTCGCGTCCAAAAGTGATATTTTTTCAAACATCTTACATCATATGCTCCGTTATTGCACTTGGTAAAGTATGAGGAATTCTTAAATGTATTATCTTTCCAGAGGANATTTTAACGCCTTGAATTACTAAAAGGTCTGCTCGCAGTTGAGAAAAATTTGAGAGTAATTTGCTCAAGCCTGAACAATTTTTACCAGGATAGGCTTTTGTAATGTTACAATAAATCTGATGATGGTTAATGCTTTGCATATTTAATATTGTTTCATTTATTTCCAAAACACCTGTTAAAACACAAGGTTAGGCCAGTTGTTCAAAAGCTGAGTAAATGTTAAATAATCTAAGTTCACTTTCTCACAAAGTTTTTTCTTCTGTATCATTTTGAAACATTCTACACTCTTATAATGTTAGGCTACAATTTAGTATGAATTTTAGAGAAAAAAAGAAGAGAAAGAATGATAACTTTTAGAAAGTTATCATGGGTTTCAAAGGTTTTATTAGTAACTTCAAATACACCATTTACAACATTTGTAAATTACATAGTAATAAAATAAATAGTACATGGCTTATACATGTACAAACCTTTTCTGTTTAGCTTCAGGGTGCAAGATTAACATTTAAACATACTGTCTAGCCAACTGGCTCGAGAGATCTCACATTTTATCTAGTCAGATTTTCCTCTAGTCAGGGTTACGAACATAATTTTATTTCTGCACCCTTTCTTCAATTTACAAGGTCTGGAATTGACCCTGCTAGAGGTTAAACATTGTAAAAAGACTAAGACATTAAGCTTTTGTAGTTCACATTTTATGACGTTTTACAGTGAGCAATCACAAATGACAACTACATGACAAGTCTGAATTTTTTTCAAATACTGTACCAAAAGCCAAATTGGAATTTTTACTCAACTCTGTGACCAGTTTGCTACTGTTAGTCTTGAGCCCTGAGTTTATGCATGTAAATTGGCAAAATGCTAACTATGACATGAGACAACAACATTTACTGAAGCAGTAATCTCTCCTGGTTACCACCTAATAATGGCTGTTAAAATTGAACCTTCGAAGGAAATAAATAGCACATTTACTTTTTTAAAGCAAATGTATCAATCATTTAGATACTGTAATACACTAGCCAGTAATGTTTTTAGCCCTTACTATAATTATCTAAAGGACTGGCGTAACAACCACCTGATATTATAGGAATGCTTGAGTGCAAAATACTAACTAACAACTTAAATTCCCATGACTACACTGTGACTTAAAATGCAAAAGTCAAGAAAAGAGACATTCGTTTAGGACTACTTGCTTTGTAAATAAACATTACATTTCACATTAAGTAAAATAAAAATAACATTTACCACACCTTTAAAAACTGAAAGCAGCTCAGAAATGGTGATTAAAATAAATCTCTACATTTTTTACTGATATCAAGTTTTACCTTCATTTGGCACCAAGATTTGAAAAAAAAAAAATTAAACTCCAGTAATTATTATTAAGCATGTATCAGGTTGTACTTTTTTTTATCAAGAGAGGTACCTTTCAGGGGCAAATTGAGAAATTAACTTTTAGTTAAGTTATCAACTCTGACCTGAAAAATAACTCCTGTTACTACAACACGAAACTGAAGCAGTAGGTAGTATGTGGTTGGGTCATAGTTTGCCAGATTAACAAAAGCCAAGTTGTTATAAAGGCAGTACATGAATGCTGGGACAACGTAGAGAAGTAAAACTATAAAACAAAGAAAATATTCATACTGTGAAGGTTAGTAAATTTTAAAAAAAGCTAGCTTTATACTTAGAAAGATCAACTTTAGCATAACTGTTAGACCTACATAGACCAAGCTTCATGTGTTGGAATATTTTTCAAGGATTTGCATTTAGTGACAACCTAAATTGAGAGCATTGCATGAGTAATGAAATAACAAATCAATAAATACTAAAATTGTTGACTTCAGCAAAGTCATGGTCTCCTGGGGAAAGGTATATATGGTGCAAAATACTGTTTCCAGTAGTGCAATGCGCTTACGAAAAGCCAGTGGTTTCAGGTCAATGGATTTCAACTTTCACCTGACAATTCAGCAAATTTATGTTTTGATTTGACTTAGTTACGTCTATTGAAAGCAACTTCCGGACAATTAAACCTTGCTGTAAGGTAGTCTATGGGGCTAAAATTTAGTGTTTTACCATCTTGGTAACAGTAGCTGATGTAATTTACCAATTTCCAGAGCTTTTTGTTTTTAATTTGAATTTTACTCAGACATGAAAAAACTGACTGATACTACCAAATCAAATTTTAAACTCAAGACAGTACCTCACTCACACATACAGTTCTCACTTAAGTGTTAAAGAAATTCGTATTTGCTTCATTCTGCATTACCACTCTAAGAACCTGGCTCAAATAACTTGTGCCGCTTTGTCATCCAATCACAAGAGAAACAAAAACCAACTGTGACTACGCTGCACACACAGCAAAACTCAAATTTGGCCAACAATTGTAAAAATTACACCCCAGCTAAAGAATCATACATGTTAATCTAAGATTATGCTGACAACTAGATGGAGTGGGTATGGACAAATTATTCAAACCTTTGCTTGCCACAGAAAAATTACTGTGGTTGAAAATGTCTGATCCTATGGTAAGTTTAATCATTATTCCATTTTTCCCGTGATGAATTTGACAGGTTTGATCAAATTTAGCTGGGACTTAAAAGTAGATTACTTGACTCTTCATAGCTTGCATTTTGATTGTTTACAACAAGAATACTAACTAGGGGTACTTAGGGGTAAAGTATTAAACCGCGTTAATCAACGTTCATACACGCTTGCAAACCTGCAGAATGTTAAATTATTTACCTTTAGTGTTAGACCGAACTTCTTCCACAAATTCTCCCAAAGTTGAACTAAACATGAACACGGTATAAAACATTTAATGAATTATTTTCAACGTACATTTTAAAATTACAAGCAAAGACCAGAAGAGATGGCTCAAACTTTTGGCAAGATTTCCGCTCGAATCGCTTACTTATTGTACATAAGTTCTTTCATACAAATTGCGAGCCTTTTTCCCACCGAACAAAACTGCTTTTGTGTTTGTATAAAGGCTATATGCAAATAAGTAAATTAGGAGCGATGCGGAAATCTTAGCAAAGTTTCAACGTACGTCCTCATCTGCAGTCCCACAGCAACAAGAAGTTTGACAAATTCTGTCAAAAGCACCACTGTAACCGTGTTGTAGGAGTAATGGTTTTCTTTGTCTTTCGTCGCTGTAACAAGGATACCTGTCGGAAAAAAATAAGACCAGTATTGAGAACGCTGAGAATATCTAACCGTAAATCTACAAACAATTGTACTGTACAAATACTGAGTCAACCGAAGAAGTCTCGGATGACTAATACTTTCATGAAGGGCAACATGTCTTAACCTATGCTTACGAAATGTAGATTTTATTAAGGTGTTAACTTAGCGTTCGCACCCTGATTTATGAACAGTGCCATGTATCCTACGAAAATGAAAAAGTGGTTTTTCGTAGGGAAAAGGTTTTTTAGATCTGCGAGAGCGCCAACACCCCGTAAACCCGCCATAGTTTTCGCTTCCTGCATCGGGGCAGCCATTCAACCGTGTTATGTAGCCGACGTGCTGAGAAGAATGGCGCGACTATGCTCGCTTCTTTGAATCATGGGAAAGCTCTCCCCAGTTTTCTCGTCTTATTGCCATAGCAACAACCATCTTGAAGGAAAAGCAAAAAGAGAGCAAAGATGGCGGACTTACCGAACGTGGGAGAAGATAGTCCTAAAAGAACGCGGGTATTCGTGAATCATGTGGATTTATTCACTGGTAAAAATATCAGCAAGGTAAGGAAGATGACAAAGATAAACTCATTCCAATAGCTGGAAGAACGGGAATCACTTTCTAAGTCTTGACAGCAAAATCAACTTGTGTTAATTCCGACTTAAGCTTGGTTTTATTTTGGTTAAAATAAAAGCACCTAAGTCTATACAGCACTTCCTTTGATCATTTTTCTTACTTCAATTTCAGGTGAACATGTTTATCGTTTAGGGCTTTCTGCAAACATTGTTCAACTGATGACCAACTTGTCAGCTTAATATATAAAACTTAGTTCATCTGCACAAGTTAAGCTGTATTTCAATAACATTTTTCTTTCCTTTTCCAAGATATTAGCATCCTCTGTTGTCGGTGCTACAGCAGAGGAAGATGAAGGCAACGATGATGAGTCCCAAGCTAGTGGACAGCCTCAAATTCCAAAGGAAAATTGTTATGAAGTAGTTGGTACCTTGCAAGATCCAACTCAACGCAAACCTGAATGGGTTGAGGACGTGTTTGAGGTGTGTGCTTTAGGTTTTACAGTAAATCTCTGTAAGGTTTACAGTAAGATCTCTGTAAACCGATTTCTTTCTTTTTGTGTGCAATTCTTCCCATCTTTAAGCCGGGGGGGGGGGGGGGGGGGGGGCTGAAATTTTGTTGCGATTACATGACGAATTTCAGCCCGGACTGAAATATTAGCCTCGACGCCAAATATGTAACTGCGCGCGAAGAGTCTCAGGAGAGGCGCCGAGAACATGAATCGTGAAAATAGGCGCATTGGTTCTCTCGCAGTTCAGCCTTTTGTTGGCGCTCAATTTTCAACCTTTTTGGGATGGTAACAGCCTACAAGATGATGGAACTGAAACGAAACCTGTCTTTTGCTACATATCTCTCAGCCAGAAATACACACTTGCATAGAAAGAGAAGATATCTTCAAGCTCGCCGAGTTCGCCGAAAGCATTGAACTCGAAGTTCTTATATTCCACCTGAGCTTTGAAATTTGCGAGACAACGAATAAGATTCTCTATTTCGACGCCTTTATTCCACTGAAATTGCTTCTCCTTCGTAGCGGCAGTCATCTTGTTTCCCATGGGATTTTTTTCCCATTTTTCAGCCCATTTGCCAGGTTTTTCAAACTGGGCAAGGATTTTCAGCCTGGGCTGAATTACTGCCCGAGATGAATCCTTCTCCATGTGATAGCCAATTTAATTATAAGAGGATTTGTTTCAGAAGCCGGGCTGAAATTCGCCATGTAATCAGGCCCTTCAACACGGCAGAAACTCGACTCTGATTCAGACTTCGTGCTAGAGTCGTACCAAAATCAAGATTCACTGAAGCCATGTAACTATTCTCCTAGTAACTCCCTACGAAAACGCAATCCTATCAAAATACATTAATAATTTATGAATTTTGTTTGGCGCGGCAAACACGACGTTTAAATTGCCGCCGTGCAAGAGTCGTGTAAAGCCTGGTTCTGATATCCCGCCGACCTACCTGCGACGTAGTCGCCGGTTGCAGCTTACGTTCAGCGATCTGTTTGAGTGGGTCCCCGGCGCATCTGCGATGGATCGCCGACGTACTCTAATTGGCGCGGAATGCAAATCGAATTGGCGCAACTTTCAACCATTCTACCTGTAAATATGGATCGAATCGTCTTACTGGAGTACGTTGCGTCCGCAGATGATGTTCACATAAAATATTTTCATCGCCGATAATCGCCGACAACCGCCGGGTTGCCTACGAAGTTGAACTCAGCTCAACTTCGCAGGTAAGCCGGCGGTCAATTACCATTCGGCGATAAATGTTCACATATGCCGTAACGGTGTCCCAGGCCGTGCCAGCGGCTATGTCCCATATGAGAACCAGGCTTAACACGTCAGAGCTTATCGAACTTAATTGCTTGGGGAACCTAATTCAAAAGTTTGATTCAGACGCCGTACTTCTGCCGTGCTATTGTCGAACTTAATTCCTGCATGGCAGAAGCACGACGTCTGAACTAGGCCTTAGACGTTTTAATGTTACTAATGTTCAGACTCAGGTACTGCTCACGTGGAGCTCTTTAGGGAGGTCTTTCTATTCTTTTCCTTTGTTTCACGTTAATGGTTCCTCTACCGTCTCTTTGTCAGTACGTTAAGTTCAGAACAGTTCCGTTTTGGGATTCATATAATCCTTGTAGTTGACTGAGGTGAGTTGTTGGAAACACCACTTGCATACATGACACTTGAGCAACTCTCTTTTTAACGTGAGGTGTCACGCAATACTTAACTTGGTCTTTCCGGTCGCCTTATTGTTTGCAAAACGCTGGATTAAAAAGTTCCCAAAGGGAAAAAGGCTAGTATGAACTTTGGGTAACCGTAAATTGGTTGTCGGCCAATCCCTGGCATATCCCATGAGCAACATCACCAGCAAGCTTGATAAAATAGCGTGTAAAACATGATAACCGCATACGTGTAATGCCGTCCTTTTCTCCGTTAGATCTGTCAGTCATTAATGTTCTCTGCTTCAAATGAAAGTAACACAGCACAGTAAGTCGGTCCTCTGAATGTACACGTTTGTGTGACCCTCGGTTTAAAAGTCTGCATATGATGGCAGCCACAATCAAGTTTTTCTACTCGCAGTCACAACACTTTCAATATTGCTTAACGCTGGTCTGACGTATTAGTACCAGACTGGTAGGTGTTTCTTATAAGAATCCATCCTCAGTTATGTTTTCTACAAGCACACAAAATGTTGTCACTATTTAAATTTAAGGTGCACGAAAGCGCAACAGAACAAAAGAGCTTTGCGAATGTGGACGAGCTAGATAAGTGCCTGTCAATTTGACTCATTTTGTTTTCGTGAAGCAAAAAATGTATCTTCTGGTATGCATATCAACAAGAATGCAATAAAATGAAGCTGCTAGAGCTTCCCTTTTACAGTTCATTTGTAGCCGATAAAAATAGCAAGAATTTTGTAATAGTTAAAAAAAAGCTTGGCCTTCCGCAGGTTTTAATACAGCACGACAAACACAAAATCTTTTCTGTAGACAACGTGATCCATATATTGGTCAGATTCCCACTTGTTAAGCTCACACCAGTGCTTAATGATCTGGTAGTTTATGGATCCACATTGGGTCATCGACAAACATTTCTGTGCACATTCAATCATTCCTCTCGTCTGGAATAAGCTCAGGTTATGACCAATCAACACGCGATCGAAATTGGTAGAAATACCTCCAATAAAATGTCGACCATCTCTGTTGTCATATGATTTCTCATTTGTCTCTTGAAGGTGAGAGTAAAATACCAGAGCAATGAAGTTGAATATCAGCCCTTTCTTCATCGTTTGCATCAAGAGCGCTGGTGTTTGCCCCAAGAAAGAATTTGTAAGATCGAATGACGTACAAAAGAAGGAAAAGAAGAAGCCACCGACCAATTTTATGAGCCTGTGATGTTATGAGAGTTGACATAGCCTAAAACAACATCATCACATCAGTAGGGAATAAGAGCAAATGGTTCGTGTAAATCTTAGCTTAAAAAAACACTACTCATAGCCAAATTTAATTAATTTTCGCGTCCAAAAGTGATATTTTTTCAAACATCTTACATCATATGCTCCGTTATTGCACTTGGTAAAGTATGAGGAATTCTTAAATGTATTATCTTTCCAGAGGAATCTTAAAATTCAGATTTAATGAATCCAACTAGAAAAGGAAGCCTGAAAAATAGTTATTCGAAAACACCGGGCACGTGCACACAATCTAGCCTCTCCATTCCTCGTTAACTATTTTCGATAACCACAAAAAAGAGAAAAGTAGTCAAGTGGAAACCTTCAAGTTTGCCATTGGCTATTTAAATAGTCCTGAGATAGCTACAACTTAACGTATTGACAAACTAGTTGGATAACTGTCTATCCTCACAACGAAAGCTGTCCACAGGACGTATCTTTGTTTTCTTTCAAACAGGTGGCAAAAACCGAACCATCTTCACCTTAGCAGTTGTATTTACTGTTTCCTAGCCAACTGTCGTTAGCGTTAACGTTTGTGTTTGCTCAAAGAAAACCTATTTCCTTCTATACCACAGTACAGAGCAATAATGTAAATAGAATGGAATATCCAATCCCCCCCTTTCTTTCATCAAAGACTGTGTGTTCATATAAGTAAGAAAAGCCAGTCTTGAAATTATCACAAATGATAATTTGATTTTCTTCACAGTTGTTTCGTAGATATTTTTATGTTTCATTCGTCAAAGGCTGTAGTCTAGAGCAGCTGTACTGATAGTGTTAGTCCCCAGGACAAAAACCCATTAGATATTATCGGGAAAATAATTTATACTGCATACACTATGCCTTTCTTAATTGATATTTTGTTGCCTTATTCATAATAATAGTAACATAGATAGAGGACGAGTTCTTTTATATAATTTGTATTTGAAGTTGTCGACGTTCGAATTCATTTCTCTAGGAAAACCAGTCACCGTATAATTCCGTCGTTCATCGGTCCAATGCACGCTTGATTCCACTTCGTTATTTCATTTTTTTACCACACCTTATTTTAATGTCGCCTCATGGTATAAAAAATCAATTGCTAGTATTTTCCGATGGTGATCCGGTTTTGGATATTCCAATAACACGACTGCCATTGTTTATTCTCCTTTAAAACAGTTTATTTCAATCACTCAATGAGTATGTCCTGTCTCTGTTAAAGTTTATCTTTTGGCTCTATGACTGAAAATTGTCTCAAAAAAACAGCATATTATAAATTCTACTCATTAAGGTTACCGTATAACTTTAGAGGCTACTCACGTCCAAGGAATGTAGCGCGTCCGATTGTGACTCTGGATAACTAAACCCCATATCAAATTAAAGCTTATAGAGCTGGCTATCAAACTGTACCAATAATTTAGAAATAAAATGAATTGTCCAATTTTTCACGACCTCTAAATGTGAGCGTCTAAATCACCGTTTGAAAGCTACAAATCAAGGGAATTTGTTCGTTTGCCCTAAAAATTTGGGCAGTAGCTAGGTTGACATAGAAACAGTTACTAAAACATGTCTTTTATTTCCGACTATTTGTTTTTCGCGGTAGCATTAACTGTGATAAAGAGAAAAACGAAGACAAACTCGACAGAATGACCTATAAAATTACCTTATACCTACTGGACTGAAACTCCATTTAGACCTACTGCCTTAACATACACAGGTGTACAGACTGTGCAGTGCTGCACTAGCTTTGAAGTTTCCGGTGTTCTCGTAAAGAACACCATTCACCGTGCCGAGGTGTGTCATTGTTTAAACAGGAGGCCAGCTGGGATAGAGAAGAGTTCAGACAAGTCTTCTTCTCAAAGATTGAGCCATACAGCATGCACAGTACAGCAATGAACCATTTTATTGTTTTCATCTGTTTAGTTGCGTCCAGGGAAGCTGCTGGGAGGTAGGGACTTATTTGCAGCATTGAAGAAAAGAAGAAATGAAAAAAAGGCAAAAGAAATGACGCGACATTGGCGTGTAACAAAAACATGGAAAACTTAAGACTTAAACACAACTATATCTTAAAAGTAACGAAAATTTCTTAGAAACTAAGTTAAGGACGAATCTTCTCAATACGACGAGTATTTCGTCGTTCGTAGTCACGAGCCACGCCAAAATATGTCGTTCAAAATTTTTATAAGTTTAATCTGTTCTTATATAGCTCCTTTATTAAAACCAAAGGACGGTCATTTTCTGGCCTAACAGTTTGGTTCTAGCTTATAAAATTTAGCACAATTATTTCATTTTATTCTGGTAAGTTCAGATTGGCCATGTTAGGGAGTCAATCGAAAAAATTCTAGTGGCAAGAATTCGATCACTAGAAAAATGGGGTGGAACTCGCAGACATGAATTGCGCGTTCGTACAAGGAAAAGGAATTTGTGCGGCTCCTCCAGGATGCTTCGACGTTCAACATCCATTCAATAACATTTTCAATTTCTTTGTCTTTTATAGCTGAACTTGAATGTGAAGACAGTTTTTAAGGGTTAAATATCATATCGGCCTTCAGCTTTGGCTACCGAACATGTCCAATGCTTGTGAGAATGTCTGTTCAGTTATGCTTCAAGCATAAGTGACGCCTAATCATTTAGGGCATTTATAGCAAAATCCACGAAGTGTTTTCATTTGCATGCCAAAGCTCACCAATGAGTATAGTTCACCCCTTTCTGAAATATACTTTGTCTTTAAACGTGTTCAACGAAAATGTTTCATGCTTGCGCCACTTTTGATTTTCAGAAGTCCTTTAGCGGCTGCCTCGAGCCATGGTTTTAGGGAAAAGCGCTCCCTTCCAGCACGCCAGCTTTTGGTTGGCTACTGGGGACAAAATGCTATTGGAACAAGAGTCAGCCGACAATACTGGGAGAAGGACCTGCGCTACTTCTGCAATAATCACAAGTTTGATGTCTACTTGGTGGCATTTGTACACCGGCTCTTCAGGAATAACAGGAACAGAGGTATTGCCATAATATTAAGAGAGGGTTTAAGAACGACGTTTACAGCAAACGACAGTAATTAACAAATAAAGAAACCTCGACTGTGCTCTGTTCTGTTGTAAAGCACGCAGGAAGCGGTAGAGCATGAAGGAAGTGTAGGGGAAAACACAAGACGTAGTCGAGTGTCTTTCCCCACTTCTTGAGTGCTCTACTGCTTTTTAAGTGCTTTACAACAGAACAGACCACAGTCGAGGCTTCTTTATTTGTTTTATGATAAAGAATCCGATAATTTCCCTACGCATTCGGCTGAATTTTCAAACCAAACTTTATTTTCCAAACGAGTAAAAGTGGCGTCAGCCGTGCACTGTTCTCTGATAAAGC